ACTTTAAAACGTAAGAAGGCCATGCAATTTGTGTTTAATTTTAAATATGTTATCCATTATCAGTTTGAAATATGAATTACCTCAAGAAAGGGATATGATATACCCCAAAATGTAGCAGCATCTTTTGTGCAAGTATTTGCGCTAACAACAATTTTTATAAACATCGAGTAAATTTTAAAAATTAAATAAATTATTAATAAGAAATTATTCATGGCTTCAGTATGGAGATATATAATTACATTTAAATATTTATTATTTACATTTATATACTTATTTATAAGCATATTTATATCTTTTTAAAATTAGTTTATTTATTAAATTTATAAGTTAACAATATTTTAAATATATAAGTTAATTACTTATATATTTTAAAATAATTAATTACTTATATGGAAAGAATCGGAAAATTTCAACCAGAAAAAGCAATTTATTTTATGAGATTAAAAAATACCAGCAACTGTCTGAAATTGTGAAATGATATAAATAGTACAAATATATTATTCAAATAATAACTTTTAACGCTATTCTTATAATTATAGGTTTCTCCTGAAATCATAATGGATACAAATACTTTATTTGGTACATTTTAGTTTTGTGATAACGTACTTATAATTTAATCGATTTATGTTGAGTGAAAGCAATTATGAATAATAAATAACGCAAAAAAACAGTCGAACATAGGAAACTTTGAGTCCTTTTTCCAGACTATATTTTATTCATTTTATTGACATTTGAACTTTAATACAAAACGCAATATCTATAAGACCATGTATGACGAGTTTTCTGAATATCGATCGTTTTTTTCTACAATATGTAATTTAAGATTTAACCATACACTCCGTTTCACCAGAGTGGAATTCGGATCAATACCGATCCCAATTGCTATTGCTTGGGTGGAGCGACTAGGGCGGATGCTGAGCACACGCCATTATGGAGTGCAAACAATCGGAAAAGGCAGACAAGAACTATGGAGGCAGATTGTAAGGAAAAAAATTCTATGGAAAAGATGCGTCATTCGTTCTCGATGAGATCATTTCAATACGGTTCGATTGTGATTGGTCGTCGTGTGGGTATGATTGCTTTGATTGTTTCCAGTGAATAATTACAGTGCAAATAATAAAACAAATGAATAATCTGGCGTGTAATAGTTTCTATTTTTCGAAGTTACTATGTGTTTTCGAGGTTTTATAATTAATTATTTCTATAGACAAGACAGATACTACAGCTGTTCAAAGAATAAGACTGTATCGCCAGCGAAAAAGCAAAAAAAAAAACAAGCAGTCAATGAATATATGTTAATTTTAATTACATGAAGTTCTTCAAACACAATTACATGATAAGTGAATTTTCTTTAGGCGTTGTGCAACATAAAAATTACAGCTGTCCACTGTGTGAACCAATATTATACAATGTATTAATCAGCAATTACTTCATTTCTCTAATGAATTTTCAAGTTTTAATTGCCCTAAATACTAGTTACAATGACAAACCGATCATGTTATATTTGGAGTATGATTTGAATTTCATTATTGTTTTCAAATATTATAATATTTTTAATGCTATTATAAATATATAATATAGAATTTATTGTTATATAAATATGTATGGCATTATAATAAATGTGTGCATCACCACTGTTACCATATGATAATACTTAATACATTTATTTTATTTTTAACTTAAATGCCACCTTGTACAATAGCAAAAAAGTTTTACTTCAATCGCGTGTGAACCTTACGCGCATTCTTGTGAATGGATAAAAGATTGGTGAATTCAGTATCTTTCGATTTTATCTGATTAAAAGTTGTATACGCAAAGCGTGTCTTTTCAAATCCAATACCTCTGTAGAGTTTTGTAAGAAATTACATAAGTTTGTCGTTAGCTTTCTGACATTATTCATTAATTTTTTGATGATTATATATGATTTCATTAATTTTAATGATTGAGAAAAAATCGCACGCAGTGTTAGCCATTTATGCTTTTTATCTATGGAGTTAACGTAATTTTCAATTTTAAGTAATGTTTAAATCTGTGTCATGTTTGGTATGACTGTGAATCTTATAACCAACGGCTTGTAACCAAGTTCACATGAGAGTGTACGAGAATTCGTTGACAGATTCAATCACAACGGGTTTTTGACTCTTAGCACTTCTTAGCGCCCCAAAGTGCCCCAAAGCGTCAAATTCTGTAGAAAAGTACATATTTGTGTCTTAATCAGTTTTTCATAGTTGAATATTAATATATTGTGCAAAACAATCACTTTATGTTAAGAATAATTTGCTTTTTCGGCTACAAGTAAGTTTTAACCGTTCCTCTTTGTTGACTTTTTAACAAATCAATCGAAATGTCAACGAAACGCAAACTATTGATTCCTAAAAAAGTAAGTGATATTGAAGAATTGTATTCACATATAGAAGACCCTGATGAGAAAGAATTTTTGTTGCATATGGGAGTCGATATGATGGAGCATGAGGCATTCAATAACCCGTAAGTGCTGTAAATTAATTTTCACACATTTTAACTAAAATATTTAGAATTAAAATTGTTTAACTTGTTTCTATATATTTCAGTGATTACAAATATAATTGTAAAGACTTTGAACTAGGAAATCCTTTAGGAAAAGGAAAATTTGGTAGGGTATATTTAGCTCGAGAAAAAAAGACAAAATATCTTGTCGCATTGAAAACCCTATTCAAATCAGAAATTAAAGCAGCAAAAGTTGAACGTCAGGTGCTTCGTGAAATTGAGATTCAAAGTAAATTGAAGTAAGTGTAAATTTAGTTATTATGGCAGAAACTATAATTTTGTGTAATAAAAGGTTTAATACAAAAATTATGTAAAAGCAACTCATATTTCATTATTTTACTTTTTAAGACTTTTGAGGTTTTGAAAATGGATATAAATAGGATCTTGATCAATGGCATTCATTGTTGTTTGCTTAATTCTTTTATTATTATTATTATTATTCTTTTTATTAAATAGATATGTTTTAAAGATTGATTTATGTGCATGAATCACTATTTATAACAATTTACATAGCTATATGTATGAGTGTATATATATATATATCCAAAATAACAAATGTTTTGTACAGACATCCAATATTCTGCGGCTTCTCACATGGTTTCATGATGAAAAGAGGATTTATTTAGCACTGGAATTAGCTGGTCAAGGTGAATTATATAGACATTTGAAGAACTCTCCCCATGGAAGATTCAACGAAATATTGTCTGCTAAATATACTTTCCAAGTGAGTTAAATGTAATTAGATGTGGAAACTGATTTGATCTTAACACCCCTTACAGTGAAAATTTTACAAATAGAATTTAATAGAAATTTTTAAAGCAATACTGGTTTTCTTATAGGTTGCAGATGCCCTTCATTACTGCCATTTAAATGATGTGATACATAGAGATATAAAGCCAGAAAATTTGCTTTTAACTTATGATGGTGATGTGAAACTTGCTGATTTTGGCTGGAGCTGCCATGCACCACGTAGCAAGTGAGTCTATTTAAAATTATTAGAATTCTTTTTATAATTCTTGTTTTGTAGAAATTAGATATTTACTGCATATAATAATTGTTAATTTATTCATATAATTGTTTTTTTCTATGCATTTAGATTTTATTATAAATGCGATTTTAGTATATTACCCATACTTTCAAAGCAAGAACATAAGTTCTAATATTTTCTTTTCAACAAAGCTCAGTTTGGTAAATGATTTAACACAAGAAGACTTTAATCATACTTCTAGTTCTAATTCATATTTTTATCAAATTTAAATTTAAATTATAACAATTAATAATATTATACTCACATGCTTTATGCTTATTTTGCAGGCGTACCACACTTTGTGGAACCTTGGATTATCTCCCCCTGAGATGGTGTACAACTGTGTCTACGATGAAAGTGTGGATGTTTGGTGTTTAGGAATTCTCTGCTATGAGTTTTTAGTTGGAAAACCGCCATTTGAAAGTGAAAATGCAAAACAAACTTATGAAAAGATTAAGAAGTCACCAGTGCAATTTCCCAGTTATTTATCAGCTGGATCGAAGGATTTAATTAGTAAACTGATCAGGCGGAGATCTGATAACAGAATAAGCTTACCTTTGGTGATGCAACACCCTTGGCTGGTAGAATTGTATGTAAGCAAAATAAGAAGATAAGTTTTCAGTTGACATTTCATCATGCTGTTTTGCATTGACTTTTTTTAACAATATTGTTACATTGTTTTATTTATTTTTATGCAAATATGTTTAACATTCAATTATATTAGGGTTTTTAAATGTGACGAGTTGAATTTTGTATAGCCAACCAAACAATTATTTTAATATAATATTATAACTTTGAAGCGTTTGAACATTTTTTAGATTCAATGTATAAGTAATTGTTTAATTTTTTATAGATTTTTTTTTTCTTATTAAGTATCATATTCATTGGCTATTTAAAATTAGTTACAGTTGCTAACCTTTTTCTTCATCTATTGGCAATATGATTGAAAGGTTTAATTAGATAACAATTATAGAAAAAATTAGAAATATGATATGATAATATTATGAATGAATTTTGAGAGCACTAGTTGAATCTTAATTTTAAGTAATGGTTTTGTAAGATATAAATTGGCTTAACTTTAAATAAATAATTTTTTACAAGGTTATTATCAAGAAATTTCATTTAAATAATATCATTCTGCCTACCACTTGTCTAGCTAAGGATCTTCACATACACTTTTTCTTGAACATTTGTACAATACACACACACACACAATTCACTTGTATTTCTAGGAAATATATGAAAAGCAATATCTACATTTTCAATATGTATTTTGTTAGAAAAAAATGCAACCATCTGATCTGTAAATAAATACATAAGAATATGAGAGACTGATAAAAATAGTTTTTAAACTTCTTCAAAGTAATATTTATTAATAAAATATATTAATAAGAATTATGTTAACAGTTATAATTCTATGGAATTTTATTATATGCAAAAAGGTTGTCATCTATTGTAGATGGAATGGAGGCATCTTAATTATCACAGCTTATTGGCAGGTTTAGGACGATGAGTATCAACAGCATCAATAGAGAAATTTATATACTCCATTCTGCATCCATATGCTACAGGTGTCAACTTTATTATTGTATGTAGAGGTACTTTCAGGTAAGGCAGTTCGTCTAAAAAATAATTAGCCCTGAGTATTTCAAAATACATAGGAATTTATATTACTGGATAGTAGCTGTCCATCTAAATGAAACAAACATAATTCTCATTCACCTGCAGATTTATCCAGAAAGTATGCCAACAGACATCTCAATACAGCCTGATGCGAAACTACTAATACATTCCCTTGACGTTCCAGTTCCATGATGACAGGTTCTAAGCGAGCAACCAAATCTTCATAACTTTCACCTCTTGGATAGCGGTAAGCAAATTTATTCGCATCTCTAGAAGCAAACTCTTCAGGATACTTAGCTTGAATTTCTGCATAGGTCATTTCTTCACATATACCCTGATGATCAAAATAATATTGAACTCTTTATTACATTCTCATAATAATAATTATTATTATTATTAAATGTATATTTAAACATGTTCTAAAACTAATAAAGAATAAGTTCAATGAAATCAATTCTTAACCCTTAAAGTGTTTGAAACTTTCAAAGTATTCAGAATATTGAAAAATATTGAGAAGTTGATAATCAACAAAATATATTTTATTGATTCAAAATGAGTTCTAATTCGGAATATCCAGAGGTTTGTACACTAAATTTTGTTTTGCTATATCATTTAACCAGAGATTTTTTTTACTGAAAAGTAATATCAATTTAAAGAACAAATAAATGGTAAAGAACACTAATTTGAACAAATTTGTGACTAAATTTCATATATATCTATAGTACTATTTTGATTGCACAGTGGCTAAAGCAAATATGAAGTGATTTACTTATTTGTTTTCCTCAAGAAACTTTTACTGCAAGCCAAAATTATAAATTTTAATAATAATAAAATAGATTTTTATGCTTACTGCATCAAGCTCATTTAACGCCTTCCATCGCTCTTGTGGTGCTGGAACGCTACTGACAGTTTGAATTGTACGTTTCATCCATGATGTCCAAACACGTAAACCGTCTATCTAAAAACAATAAATATTAATATATAAATTATTCTGAAATATATATTCTGAAAACTTCATCAAACTAATAATTTAAACATTTCAACAAAAATTAGTCATTCAGTAAAATATTTCTAGTGATTGAAGGATTCATATCAATCATAGACTACTATATTAATATAATTTAATAATTTAATATATATTATTATATTAATATTTAATATATTAATATAATATTAACCTTCATTCATATTGAATAACTGGAGCTAATATAATATATGCAGTTAAATTTGCTTTAAAATATAAATGTAAAAGTAGATCTAAATACGTTTTTTTTTAAAGGATAAGGAATAAAAACTTATTAGATATTATATTTAATCATTATACCATAGTTAATTATCAACATTGATTTCAATCTGGTGTCCTTTGTTATTTTTATTGTTAAAAGGTATGATAAGTACAAAATAACAAATCTGTAATCTCTATAAGGTTTTCAACCTCACTATATTTAATTTTTAAATTAATTTTAATATAATTATCACTTACATTTTGTTCGGTAATGTAAGCACCCAATGCCGCAGCATACTTTTCGCCTCTTTCACTTAAATCAGAATCTCCTCCAATACGTCCTTGCAAATTTTGTTTACTTTCTCCATGCTAAAAAGGCACACATAATGTATGTTAAAATCTATTTCTGATTATATTATGTTATTCATAATATATTTACTCTTGTCAAATATATAGTCCTTGGAGTGATATGTATATTCATCAAATAATAAACAATTCTAGATTGAATGTGCCCTTCATGTTTATGAACTATTACTTTTTCTCCTGTATTATATATTTTCATGAATGATAAATGCCCTTCTGTAGTTTCATCTAAAATGTCATATCTGTAAAATATATCATATATTATCAGAAGCCTGTTTGATAATTTAATTTTTCCTTAATTAAATTATTTACCTTTCTTTATAATGCTCAATTCTCTTCATGAAGTCCTCTAGAGCTGATTCTGTGTTCATGTTTATGTAATCGGGGCTGCTAACTTTAACTTCCTGCAGTTCATAATTTATTTTATCTTCCATTTATATTTGCATTATATACTTGATACATTTATCTTACCATTACATTCTGCTCTACTATTTGAGGATCATCACAAAGTGACTCTACAAAGAACAACTTAAATTTCATTTTTCTCACAACAATATCATATATCATCTCTCTTCTATCTATAGTGGAATTCGTAGCATCAAAGACCTGTAATAGATAAAATATTATAAAAGATTTCCATTTTCATCAACAAATTATCAAAGTACATGTTTGCTTTGATCATTCAGTTAAGTTTTAATTCCTCTACACAAAATTGTTTGCAAAAATTTATATAATTACAAATTTTGGTGTGATTTATAGTTTATATAATAAAAAATAAATGGATATATTATTTCCATTACCTTACATTCTCTGTATGATAATTCAAAACAGAAAAGAAAACTACTAACTACACTATATTCTAGTATATTACTATTACGCTCAATCATTAATTATTTTATTAATTTATTATGAATTACAAATATTTAAATCAATAGTTATATAGAACAATGTAACAAAAAAATACTCACTGCTACTTCCCCACCATTATCAAGCCAGTTGCAAGCATCTTTTAAAGCATCTTCAGCACATTTTGCTCGAATTGCCATGGCTTGTTCATTGTCTTGTCGGAAAAAATCATGACTTTTATATTCACTTGTAGCATGTCTTCTATATTCACCGAGATTGAAAACTAAACATGATAAAATAGTATTATGAAAAGAAATATCAGAATGTCAAAGATATAAAGTATGTTTAACATGTTTGGAGAGAGTAAAAGTTTCAGCAAGGTAGAAAAATTTACAGTCATTTTATTTTTAAATTGGTTGTGATATCTGAGACTTGATTGAACACCATTTGTAAGAGTAGTCAGCCTACCTAAACAATATGAGAATGTAATGTTTGCTTAATATATTCTCATTATATTGGAAGTTTGAATATCATATTTTAATCTTCATGTACGATGAATGCAATAGCATTCACATCATTCTGCATCGCAATGAAAATGAATGTTATACCATATTAAGGTTTAAGCATCATTACTTTCACCATTGTATAGTGATTATTACAGATCCGTGTTTAATACAAATTGTATTACCTTTTGTGTTAATGCCTATCCAGTTTAAGTATCTTGAAAGTTTTTTTGCTATATAAGTTTTTCCTCTTGCAGGCAATCCAACCATTGCAATAACATGCGGACTGTTGACATAATTCACTCTTTCTCCTGAAAGGAAAAACAAAGAAAATGTGAATGCAAGTTAAATTCACCAGTAGTAACCAAAAGTAATTATATTATTAACTTTGGCTATGATTAACCATTTTTAATGAATTTATTATGGTAAATAAATGTCACTTGTCAACTGTGGTAAACATGAATGAATGTTTTTAACTAAGGGTTAAATTAATCCCTGATGTAAAATTCAAGTTAGTGCTGATAATGAAATTAAACTATATTGTCATAAAACGAAAACTAGTAAAAATAGCTAAATATATGTAAAATAACCGACATATTTGTAAAATGCTATGTGTTATTATTGAGTTCAGTTCAAACAAATTATTAGAGCATGTAATTCAATTTACCTATCACAACAATTGGAAATTGAAACAAAGACTTTCGGCTATTAAACATGATTATTAATTCATAAAAACTATTAAAATGGAATGTTTAAACTAATATAATTTTACTGATTTCATTAACTATTCAGCACTTATTAAAATATTTTTATAAACTAACATTTTGACCTTGACGTTTTTACTACGAATAGAGGACGACATTTTGCCACATGGCTAGATAAGGTTAACTTCTAAATAGGTCAACTTTTATCTTGTTAACTGTCAAAAAATTAAAGTGTTTATAGAAATATAAAACAGCAAATAGTTTTATATTAAAAATGCATTATAATGTTGCAGTGTTACAAGTGAGTTATGAAAGAAAATATTAGTTTTTTTTATATAATTTGTAAGTGAACAAGTTGAGTTACTGTTGTAGTTATTGACAGTTGTTATAAATTCAAGTGATGCCTGTAAACAATACTTTAAAATCAATATGAACAATTGATATATTTGTTGTTTAAATATGAGTTGAATCTAAATTTAATTATCGAACATTTGTATTTCATTATTATATCCTGAATTAGTTGATTTAATGTTAATATTAGTATAAGTCGTCCAGTTAGTCAAAAATAATATGCTATTACTGTGAAATTACTTATAAATAATTTGTTTTTGAATGATAACTTAGATTAGATTTTAGTTTTTAATTCTTATTCAGTCTGTTTAAACAAATCTTTCAGCTTATCGTCTTCATTTTGATGATGACTGTTATGACATATCAAGCTTGTAAAATGGCTTCATCAATAGGGAAAAAAGTAACATCCAGAATGTTTCCAGCACCACCGATTTGATAAGCTTCTGCAAAAAGCTGTGCCATGTAATTTAATTGATATAACAGCACTGGTGAAATCGCTTGCATTATTGAACCAAAGGATACCAAAGGTTAGTACGCAATGAGAAATTTGATATTTGAACAAATGATGATAATGTTGAAGAGTTTCAAGTATAGACGTCTTGTATATAGATATATATCTGTAACGATCAAGATGCTCTTGTGATTGAGAGGTTGATTATTTTCTTTATATTATTATAAAACTGTGATAACTATATTTTGCAATTATCTACATGATCTTGTAATTATATATTACGATCAAACAACTCTTTTGGTTGAGAGGTTGATTATTATCCCTTTATTCTTATAAAACTGTTATAAATGTACTGTACTTTGGGGTTTTAAACGAGCTTTAATGGTAGTCTAAATTTTTAAAAACTTGTGTTACTTCTTTTGTATAAGGCATTATATTGTAACAATTTTATTTGGTCCAGTTTACATGAATGTTGAGCCAAGTCGTTTGAGGTAGAGAACATTTGCAAAAATTTTATTATCCCGATAATTCTGCATATTTCAGCATAAGAATAATCATGTGTTGAGTTGGATTATATATGTAATTATATTGAATAATACAAGTGCTACATCTACAACAAAAATACACAATGTATGTTCTCATTCAGCCTTTCTTCTTCTGTTTAGTCTCAGAATTATTCTCTGATTTTACTATTATGAGATGAGGTTGTTGTTTTGATGTTGAATATTTCTAAGCCAAAATGTTATTCAAACATTGCAAAGAGTTTTAAGAATATGCACATTGAATATCATTTCTTTCTATGATATTATATAAACACACTTATTCAATAATGTTATTTTCCTCTTGCATTTTAAAACAGTACAATATCTTACATCAATCATAGTACTTTTTACATTTACCAGTTTTTTGAAATACCCTGTTTTAAAATATACTACATTTTTTCTGTTTTATCTGCTTTGTCTGTTATGAGTATGTTTGAAAGATTGATCATTATAATTATAATGTTAAATATTATATAAAATAATGATTATTTTTTAATAAAGGCGAAAACTGTTTTCGAATATTTTATCACCATTTTAAAAGTTGTTAAATCTAAATCTTACTTATAATTAAATAAGTCAATTATTTATTTAATGCAAGTTGCGATTTCTAGTCTAGAATATCCCCGGCGAACTGCCATTTACAACTATTATTCACATATTTTACCATCGTAATATATTCAGTACTATGCATTATATTAATGATATTCAATGGAGCAAAATATAAAAAATAGGTTTTCAATTTAAAATTCACAATTTTAACGAAAAATAAATCTAATTATGTATCAGTTATGTATAAGTACAGTGCCTTATTGTTAGTGTTCAAATAGCACTACTTTTTTGTAAAATATAATATATGAAAATATTACTTTACAACATTATTCTTGTAATTCATTATCTAAGAAATCTATGTGAATAAAATATTAAAGAATCGTGTTATTTTTAGGTTTTTATTTTTTACTGATTTTTTTTATTATATAACTATCAAGTATTTTACCATTTTATAATACTGATTAAATTAACTTTTGAGCTTGCTAACAATGGGTACTTTTTTTTCAAAGAAGGGTTTTTTAACGTCGACTAATTTCGAAAATTTTAAATTCGTTGAGGAATTGTGTCATTGTTTTTGATTGCGGTTAAAAAAATGTTATTCACGATTACAGTTCCAATATTTAAATGTACAAAAATAACTCAAACTAGTGGTGTATGGCATCGTGCCTTAAGACAAATTGCTTGAACTTCCCGTACCTTAACGAAATGTTCGAGGAATATTAAATGTTTTCAAACAGATTATTATAAATATTGTAACATTGTCTAATATTTATAGAAATTACATAAACTGAATTGCAAAGTTGAAATTATTTGTTTAAAGTAAGTTAGAGCAGTATTAAAATAAAATCTGAATTATTTTCGATATACAAAAAAAAATTCTTGAAAAAAAATTTTTTTTTTTGAAAAAAAAAATTAGAAATAAAAATTTTTTTCCTCCAAAAGCAATTATTTTGTTGAAACTTGCAGCAAGTTCTTTAAATAATTCAAATGGGATGCTTATATTTCTAAAAAAAACGACATTTTTTGTACATTTAGCTCTGTACCTTCGAAATGGCTGGACCACTTCTCCAAATCATTACAAATTGAATGTTTTTTAGTTCATTAAAATCGGATGCTCCGTTCTCTCAAAAACTCGATTTCTATTTTCTGCACTCTTTTCTCTTTATCTCCGTAACGGCTGGACCCGCATTTACCAAAAACTAATCAATAGGAGTTGAATCATTCAAATCGGTTGATCCGTCCACTCGAAAACGTGGACGAAAAAATGCGGACATAAAACACACTCACACACATACACACATCACTTTTTTCTGGGGTATGCCAAAGTGTTCAGAAACCTTCAGAAATGCAAAAAATTTTATTTTCGATTTACGGCCCATTACTATAACTACTCTACGGGAAGTTAATTAACTCAAATTAATCAATTAATTTAATTTCAATTAAGCATTAGGCAAATTTAGCATTTGATCAGGTGCCAAAATATATCTACTGCTGTGGCATTGTGCTCTTTAGAATTAGGTTGAGGCATATTATAATATTTTATGTAAAAATAAATAAATATATGTATATATATATATATGTATATATATATATATATATATATATATATATATGTTTAATTTGAGTTTAATAATCGGGCGTAACATCAATAAAAATAGTATGAGTTTTTTTTTAAAAATTTATTTATTTAAAATCCATACGTTTCGGCTAGCATCTTAGCCATCATTCAGTGGTAATCAAGTTAAAATTTTGTATCCTAATATAGCATATGAAACCATTATTAATCCATGGTATGAGTATGTGCACATTGATAAGATATATATTTTTTAACACAAACATCACAAATGGTAAAACACACTAATAATCATGATAACTTAACAAGTTGTCGAAACTATGTATTTACTCTTTGGAGTTTAGGATAGATGGAGAAGGATATTTTCTATCCTAAACTCCAAAGAGTAAATACATAGTTTCGACAACTTGTTAAGTTATCATGATTATTAGTGTGTTTTACCATTTGTGATGTTTGTGTTAAAAAATATATATCTTATCAATGTGCACATACTCATACCATGGATTAATAATGGTTTCATATGCTATATTAGGATACAAAATTTTAACTTGATTACCACTGAATGATGGCTAAGATGCTAGCCGAAACGTATGGATTTTAAATAAATAAATTTTTTAAAAAAACTCATACTATTTTTATTGATGTTACGCCCGATTATTAAACTCAAATTAAACATATATATCAACATCAAATTCAAGACTATTCAAAAATATATATATATATATATATATATATATATATATAATTAAAAATGAATACGGCCACAAGACAAATAATAATCGGTTAGTTCATGATTGACTATTCAAAGTTCGTATATCACAGCACATCATAGCATTGAAATATCACATGATACTTTATTATTAGTTGGACATTACGGAAATCGTTACGTATAACATTTTTAATTTGTGATTACAAACCGGTTCGACTTATGTAATTACATCTCCGGAGTTGTGTTTTTTGCAATTCACTCAGGAGTAAGACGAGTTCAAAAATACATTTTTTATAGTCCTACCTCGAATGGGAAATGGTCTCGTCAATTTTGGTCCATCGGTTGATACGTTCACTGTTTTCATATCGATCGTCACATGACAACGTCTGTAACGATTTTGTAGTTGTTCGGCTCTGTTTCGTTTTCACAAAACACGATATGACAAGCGAAATTTAACGATGCGCGATTATTTAGGAATCATAATGTAAGAACATTTTAGTTTAATGCTTGGCACACGTCTATGTTTATCTGTTGATCTCCGCACTCATATATATACAAACTAAACTCTATTACTAATCAGCTGAGTTGAAATAAATACCTTGCATTCTTTCAGGCGATTCTCTAAAGGTTTTAATTCAATTATACGTGATTTCACAATATTATTAAGAAAATTTAAATTGCAAATTTGATTATCTATTATTGCTTTAATTTCAACATTTGCGGATTGTCATTATATCGTTTTGTTATAGGTGATAAATACTGAGATTATCTCTGAGATAAGAACGTCGCGTACACGGGTTAAGTGCTTTTGAAAGCATAAATTAATCTAATTAATTAAATTTAATCATAACATATTTGTATTATATATCTATATACATATATATATATATATATATATATATATGTTTAATTTGAGTTTAATATTCGGGCGTAACATCAATAAAAATATTTATTAAACTCAATATAA